CGATTGCCGCGGAGGGGGGCATCAGCAAGGAGGACGCCGCCAAGCAGATCTGGTAGGCCTCCTTTCATGCTTTCGTCATTACGGGATCAATACTGACCAAGTTCCAGGCTGATTGACAAGCCCGGGCTCCTAATCACCTCGAGCGAGCTCTCCTCCGCGCAGAAGGGCTTCGCGCGCGACGCAGCCGAGTGGGACGACGCCTCCGCCGACCTTCTGTCTGTCATCAAGAAGGTCAAACCCAATGTCCTCATCGGCACGTCCACCAAGCCCAAAGCCTTCACCGAAGAAATCGTCCGTGCCATGGCCGCCGGCGTCGAGCGCCCCGTCATCCTCCCCCTCTCCAACCCCACCCGCCTCCACGAGGCCGTGCCTGAGGACATCCTCAACTGGACCGACGGCAAAGCCCTCGTCGCCACAGGATCCCCCTTCAAGCCCGTCAAAGGCCCCTGGGGCCCCGACGGGAAAGAGATCGAGATCGAGGTCGCGGAGTGCAACAACAGCGTCGTGTTCCCCGGCATCGGGCTCGGCGCGGTGCTGTCCCGCGCGCGGCTGGTCACGGACAAGATGCTCGTGGCGGCGGTGGAGGGCGTGGCGGCGCTGAGTCCCGCGCTGGAGGACCAGACGGCGCCGCTGCTCCCGGGGGTGGAGGTAGTGAGAGATGTGAGTGTGCGGGTGGCAAGGAACGTGATCAAGGCGGCGGTGGCGGAGGGGGTGGCTACGGAGGAGGGGATCCCCGAGGAGGACGGGGAGTTGGACGAGTGGGTGAGGGAGCAGATGTGGACGGCGGAGTATAGGCCGTTGAAGCTTGTGGGCATGGAGGGGGCGAGCAGGGAGGCGAAGGGGGAGATGGGTGTTGCGGGGAGTTTTAGCAAGCCTGGGAGTTGGTAGATGGGTAGACGGTTGGAAGGGGAGTCTGGTTCTTTGGATGTCTAATCTACTATTTCATGAGACGTTTAGATTTTGTAATCTAATGGTTGGTTAGACTGGATACTAAGTCCACAACTGTGCTTTACGTGGGATTCAAGTGCAAAAGCTGCAAGTGACCAACAGGCATAGTAAGGTCAACAGTCTTCATTCACTTACTCAAACAGACAAATATAACGATAGAAAAGGACAAGTCAAGATAGTGATGGGTTATCAAAGCTATACAAATGTTGCTGATGTAAGATTGGAATTGCACTAATTAAATGACATAATAAGAGGGTAGCTATTTCAATTCTATAAGAAATCGTTAAATAATAACGACAGCATCTATGATAATAAATGAAATATTTCCATATTTTATAACTTAAGATTATCCAAATTTATATACAAAAAAAAAAAAAAAAAAACAGGTAAGCAACATTTTAAGTCTCTTGAATAAATTCTATTTTTTAATACTATAGATATAAATACATACGAATAGCATTAGAAGGATGCTCCAAGCCATTATGCGTGCAATTAACTACGGAAGCGTATCACTTATTTCAGGAAACATCAAAGGACATTTCAAACTACAAAACGTAAACGGATGTCCTGATCAGGTCAAAACAAGGAGTGTAAGCGTGAGGTCAGTATATGCTACTACAGGCTCCTTCTACGTCATAGTATCGGCTTCCTTTCACTCATTTGCCATCTTGGGCAACGATAATCACTCTGGTTTTCTTCTTTGACGTAGAATCCATACAAATACGCATTAAATTCTCTCACTTCTGAAATACATCTTTCGTCAGATAATTACCGCTCAGCTGAAATAACCACGCAATTTCTACCACACCAAACACCCAATCAGCCAAAAAAAAAAAAACCGAAAAAAGTCCAAAATGTCTCAAATCATGCCCCCAATCCCACGCATCTTCTTCACCTACATCGAGCCTCTCCTCTGCCTCTTCGGCGCCCTCCAGCCCCTTCTCAGCCCCTCATCCATCACCGCGCCGCTGACCTCCAGCCCGCGCGAGCCCACTCCCACAGAGACCCTCTGGGCGCTGCAGAACGCTGTGCTGCTGTTCGGGTTCGCCCTGCTCACCTGGGTGATCATGCTGCACAGCAATGACAGGAAGGTCGTCAGGGGGTACGTGCTGGTGAGCGCGCTGATGGACTTTCCGCACTGGGGGGCGCTGGCGGTGGCGTTAGGCAGGGAGGGGGTGTTGTGGGAGGTTGGGAAGTGGAGGGGGGAGATGAGGATGTTGGCTTTTGTGCCGTTGGGTACGTTTTTGGTCAAGGTTGGGTATTTGGGGCGGTTGTTTGGGAGGGATCGTGTGGTGAGGAGGTAGGGTTGAGGTGGTGGATGGCATTGAGATTCGAAGCCTCTTTTGAGATTTGGAAAGGTGACGTTGGACTGCAATACATGTATCAGTGAAATGAAAACTACTACTGACACTGAATGATTCAAAGGCGCAAAGGCCACCGGAGCCTTCTTTCTCATGACATAATGCCATGGTAACATCAAAACGATGAAGATCAATTTCACATACACAAAAATCCAAGCAAGCATATTTAACTGATTTGATTCTTTCTATACTTCTACAGCCTACTGCTGCGAGACATCCACCTTACTCCACCAAAACTCAGACTCCTTCCTCGCCCAGGTATCATCATGCAACCTCGCCGGCACGCCCGCCGCACCCCCAATCAGCTCCTTGTTCTCCTCCCCAAACACCATCGCCTTCGACGTACCCTCCGCACTATACCGCTCCCATGCAGGCCTCTCCGGCGCAGACCCCCGCACCGCGTTCGGATCCCCCGTCGCGATGAAGCTCGTGATGTACGCGTTGTACGTCAGGCACAGCTCCTTCTGCGCCGCCGAGATGCCCGTGCGGTTCGGCTCGCACGTCTCGTAGTACATGTTCTCGCCGTGCCGCGCGCGGTCCAGCAGCGAGCTCTCGAGCCCCCACTGGTAGAGGTACACCGGCTCGTTGGTGGCCTTGCTCGCGAGCTCTGCTGTTTGGCGCACGGGGGCGACGTAGGCGTACTGCCCGTACGCGACCTCGAGCCGGCGGTACTGCGCGCCGGTGCCCTCGAGCTGCTCCTTGTACGGCGAGTCCGCGACGGTGAGGGGGTCCGGGTAGAGCGCGTCGATGGTGGCGACGTCGTCGGCGGAAAGGAGGGGCAGCAGGTCGGCGAAGAAGGAGGTGAACTCGTCGGAGCGGGCGACCTTTTTGCTGATGTAGATGGAGCCCTCGTTGCGGTTGAAGCCGGTCATGATGGGGACCTTGCGCCACTTGTTCAGGCGCCAGGACTCCATGGGCGCGCGGGGGATGATGTCGCCGTCGACGACGGGCTGGAATGCCCAGCGGAGGGAGGGGTTGTACTTGTCGAAGACGGCGATCTGGGCGGCCTGGACGGTCTCGGTGGGGGCGGCGCGGAGGAAGGCGAAGGTGTCGGCGGAGGAGAGGCCGGGCGGGCAGGCGCAGGCGGCGAGGAAGTCGGCGAACTGGGCCTCGTGGATGGGGGCGCTGTAGGGACGGACGGCGCGGGAGGTGGGCGCGCCGGATTCGAGGATGACTTTGTGGAAGAGGGGGGCGGATTGGCCTTCGTCGTGCATGAGGATGTGGCCGATCTGCCGGGAAAGGGGTGTCAGTTTTGGGGGAGTTGGGGGAGAGACAAGAAGCTTACGGAGTGTGCTCCGGCGGAGATACCAAAGAGGGTGACGTTATTGGGGTCACCTCCAAAGGCGGCGATGTTGTCGCGCACCCATTCGAGGAGGAGGAGCTGGTCCTTGAGGCCGAGGTTCAGTGCGCCCTGCTCGTAGCTCATCGTCGAGGGGAGGAAGCCGAGGGCGCCGATGCGGTAGTTGAAGGACACGGCGACCAGGTCCTGGCCGGAGTTGGCGAGGAACGAGGGCGTGTTGTGCATCATGGCGGTGCCGCGGTTGAAGGCGCCGCCGTGGATGTACACGCCGACGGGGAGCAGGTCCTTCTTGCCTGCGCCCTGGGGCCGGAAGACGTTGGCCGTGAGGCAGTCCTCGCTGTACTCGAACTTGGGGCCGCCGGGGAAGAGCTGCTTGCCCGGGGCGACGGCGCCGAACTTGGAGGCGTCGATCGTCGCCGTGGACGGTTCCACCTTCACCGGGGGCCGGAACCGGCGGTCGCCGGTCGGCGGCTGCGCGTACGGGATGCCGCGGAAGGCCTCGACCGGCCGCGGGATGGCTTCCGTCACGACGGTGCCGACCACCGTGCCCTGCGCGATGGTCACCGAGGGGCGGTCCTCAACCTTGGAGCCCATCTTGGGAATGTGTGTGTATGTGTATGTCTTGGATGGGTGTCTTGGTTGGGGCAAGGGTGAGAGGTGAGTGGTGAACCGGGGGCTTGGTAGAGCTTGGGGTGGGTGTGGTTGATGATTAGTTCAGGTATCGGCGGATGGGTGTACCGGATCGCCGTTGCAGCAGCTATCGCACGGCAGACAGGCCCTCCGAATCGAGTTGACTAGCATTGTTAAATGAGTAGGGAAAGCCGCGACGTTTGGTAGAGAGAAGCCATGTTTTCCCGCGGGGATCGGGCGGCCGAGCGATATCGGCTCAAGACGTGCGCTTTCGGGCCCAGATCTGTCGTCCGAAGCACTCTCTGATCTTCGGGCTTATCATGTTTATCAGAGCCGGTCGGCAAGACCCCGACCTCCTCTCGACTCATGCGCCCCCCGGCCGTGTTCCCCGCGATAGCCAGACCAGCCATTGGCAGACCCAGGACTGCGGATAAAGTAGCCCGTTATGGGGTTTCGTGGGCATGGGTCCGGTTCCTGATAAGATGCTTGTTTGGTTTACTCAACTGGCAGAGTAGGACTGACAGTTCCCCGGGCTATCTGCACTATCTGGGAGAGGGCTCGTCTATCAACTGCACCCCGGAGACCAGGCCTCGTGAGCCTGCGGGGGGTCGAGATAATGGCCAATTGGCAACGGGGCATTAAAACATCATGTCCTCTCCCCTCCCCGTGAAGCCACGGAGTTTGAGTCGTCAACTTCAACGCCTCTTGTTGTTCCTGTTGCTAGACACATCGGTCCTTTGAGACAGACAACAACAGCAAAGATGGCGGACAACACGCACGTCGTCGACAAGGACATCAAGGCCGCCGAGGACGGCCTCGAGCCGACCAAGTCGCTGACCGCCGGCGAGGTCCAGCACCTCGACGCCTCCGCCGAGTTCCTCTACCAGAACAACATCACCGAGGAGTACCTCGCCGAGCTCGTCAACGACAAGGAGAAGAACCGCAAGCTCGTCCGCAAGATCGACCTCATCGTCCTGCCCCTGCTCGCCGGCACCTACGTGCTGCAGTACATCGACAAGCAGGCGCTCTCGTACGCCGCCGTCTTCGACCTCTTCACCAGCACCAGCGTCACGCAGACGCAGTACTCGTGGTTCGCGAGCATCTTCTACCTGGCGTACTTGGTTGCTGAGTACCCATGGGTCTACCTCGCGCAGAAGACGCAGATGGGCAAGGTCGTGGCCGGGTGCGTGCTCTCGTGGGGCTCCGTGTTGATGATCACGGCCGCGTGCTCCAACTTCCCCGGCCTGGCGGCGTGTAGATTCTTCCTGGGAGTCTTTGAGGCCCCGATTACCACCTGCTTCATGATGATGGTTTCCATGTGGTAAGTCACCTCCGTCTCACCTGAGCTCAGAGCACACCAAGCTAACACGTAACTCAAGGTACGTCCGATCGGAACAACCCTTCCGCGCAGGCATCTTCTACTGCTGCAACGGCGTCGGCTCCATGCTAGGCGGCATCCTCAGCTACGGCATCGGCCAGATCGACTCCTTCCCCGTCTGGAAGGCCGTCTTCCTCATCTGCGGCGGCATCACCGTCCTCTGGGGCATCCTGCTGCTCTTCTGCCTGCCCGACAGCATCCTCACCGCCAAGCGCTTCTCGCTCGAGGAGCGCGCCCTGCTCGTCGGCCGCGCGCGCCTCGCCCGCACCGGCGTGCTCAACAAGACGGTCCAGTGGTACCAGATCAAGGAGGCCGTGCTCGACCCGCAGGTCTGGCTGCTGACGCTCTTCGTGCTGCTCAACGAGGTCATCAACGGCGGCGTCGCCAACTTTGGCAAGCTCATCATCAAGGGGCTCGTCTCGGACCCGCTGCTCACGACCGCGCTCGGCATCCCGCAGGGCGCGTTCCAGGTCTTCTGGATCCTGTCCGGCGCGTACACGGCCACGAAGCTGAAGAACCAGCGCACCACGGTGATGGCGCTGTGGCTGATCCCGACCATCCTGGGTTGCGTCATGATCTGGAAGCTGGACAGGGCGCACTACAAGGTCGGCGTGCTGTTCGGGTACTACCTTGTCGGCTCGTTCGTCGCGTCGCTGGTGCTCGCGCTGCAGATGCCGGCGACGAATTTGGGTGGCTACACGAAGCGCATTACGGCCTCGGCCATCGTCTTCACGGCGTACTGCGTCGGAAACGTTATTGGGCCCCATGCTTTCCTGGCCAAGGAGGCGCCGCTGTACCCGACGGGGTGCAAGGTCATTCTCGCGTGCTCGGTTGCGCAGATGTGCATCGCCATCTCGTTGCGGGTGATGTTGATGCGTAGGAACAAGCAGAGGGACGAGGCGGCTGCTGCGGCTGCGGTGACGCCTGACGCTCAGCATGAGGATGAGGGTGTTGATTTGACTGATATGGAGAACCCCAACTTCCGTTATGTGTTGTAGATGGCGGCGGTGATGGTAGAGATCGGGTAGATGAGCTGTTTAGAGTTATGATCATGTTGTTTGAAGTTAGCGTCACAGCGATCAATGATTACACGCATTACATGCGCTTCACTTTTGCGATGACTTTGCATATCTGTAGTTAAGTCTGGCTCAGTGGTTGAGGTGAGAAGCACCCAGCTGCCTCCTCCCTCAGGAAGCTGTGGACTGGGGTTTGGAAAACGTCAAGATTCGAATGGCAGCAGGCGGGTGAACATTCACCAACACAGCCCTGCAACATTTCAAAAGCAAAGAAGATGGCGAACTCGAGGTGAGAAATAGGCATCGTATTGAAGCAATTAGTGCCTAGACATGTGAGACCCGTATCTGTACTATGGCGAACACCTTAACCGCCACGGCTTTTTCAAGGCCTCATACTTTGATCTGCGGCATGGAGGCTATCGAGGTAGCCCCAGAATCCTCGGCCATAGGAGACCATCGAGGGTGGCACGAGAATCCTTCGCTAGCCGGGAACGAGGAATTGGGTACGGGGGAGGAGCTTCGCAGTCGAGGGGCGGTAGACGAGGACGAGGACGAGGACGAGAGTCACTGGACGGGAGAGGCTTGTTCTTGTTTGTCTCGAACGCGGAAAATCTCATTGTGTTGGGTAGTCGTGAACCATTCCTATGCCATTTTCCTCTCCTCAGAGAGCCGGACGCCTCGAATTGGCGATTTTTTGTCCCATGCAACCAACTCTAGATCCATGTAGACCGACCGAACCGAACGACTAGACCTTTTGAGAGAAAAGAGTCAGTCACCGTGTCCGAGTCGGGCTTCGCTTTTTGGACGCCAATAAAATCCCTCGAGAGCCTTTTGCAAAGCCCCGTCCACAACGTACCATTTCCTTTCCTCCCCCGAGGACGAAGCCTCAGCATTTATCGCTGGGCGGACCAGACGGCCTTGACGAGGCCATCGCGCTGGGCAAGGCGGTTGAAAGCGTCGTCGCTCTCACCCATGGCACGGACGAAACCGCAGAGGGCGTAGACGTGGTTCTCGCCGGGGACAGCGCGGCCGTTCTCGTCAACCTTGGCGACGGAGATCTGGACGGAGGCGTGGTCCTTGGCCTTGATGATGCGGTTGGTGGCGCTGCACTTGCGCGGAACGTAGCTGGAGGAGCAAACATGTTAGCAAATCCGTTCCTCTGTGCCTATTCACCCTCCATCGCATTGCGATCCCTGGCCTTCCTCCCAATTCTCAATCGTGAAGCAGAGGTCCGAGAGGGGAACCGAGAGAGATTCCACGCAAAAAAAATGCCGCCTTCTTCTGCTCTCATTTCCCTCTCGAACTCCTTTCCTCCAGAACGAGAATTCGGCTGCCGGCGCGCGGGTGCATCGTGACGTGGCGTCTCGAGGACGGGTGGTTTGGTGTTCGCTTACAGATCGACGATCTCGCCCTTGTCGTTCTCCATTGCTGCGGTTGGCGTTCGGGGGGTTGTCTAGAGAAGTTGTTGGTGATTTTGCGTTACGCGGAAGTGGTCGTCGGGAAGAGACTGAGGCGTGGTGGGGGTGACTTCTTAATTTTGCCAAAAAACTGTGTGGGCGCCTCCTGCCAAAAAGTCCGGTGGGTTGCGCCTGCCGAGCCGGCGGCAGGGCTGCGGTCACGTGTCGCTTGAGTCAGGTGACTGCGCGGCAATGACGCGGGTGTCGACGGCGCTTGTGACGCTTGGGCCTCCACCCCGCTACAGCGCTGGTACGTGCTCCGCTGAGGTGAGGTTTGGTCCCGTTAAGTGGTGTTAGTGGTGTCGCGCGTAGTGTGTTTTGCTTCTTGAAGGAGGGCGTGAATGACAACTCGAAGCGCCATTGCCACCACCAATACATCTGAGACACTACGGGCGACTTCGATGTCTACGCACGCCTTGCAGTCACTACGATAGTCTCCTGCAGACCCCCACCAAACACCCTGCTGCGGCTTGTGTTGAAACCATGCGCCCGGCGCATCACCCTGGGCTTGCCGAGATTCACGATGGGGTCTCCGTTCGGGACCATTCCTCATGACCCCTACAGCCTCTCATCCTCTTCGCCAGGACTTCCGTCTCTCGACCAGATCAAATCAAAGAACCCTTCACGACCTCCACTACGAAGCGGTAGCGCGGCGATGCCCATTCCCGACAATGCAGGCCATAGCTTCAGTAGCGTATCCAGCTTCCTCCGCCACGAGCACTCCACGATCGATCTGACGACTCCGTCTAAACCCCCGATCGAAAACTCTGGCATGCCCCCGCCACCGTTACCCGAAGAGGAGGAGCCAGTTGTTGTGTGCCTCGCGACGGTGTCGAAACCGAAGCGGAAGAGAGGTGTCAAGGTGTTGGAGAAGAAGCCAGGCCAACCGCCTCCAAAACCAGCCAAGGCTGGGAAGGCCGCCAAGGAGAAGGAGGAAACCGAGGCCGACCAACCGTGGAAGAAGTACTTGAAGGACGCTGCTGAAAAAGAAGAGAAGAAAGCCAAGTCTACAAAGGCCAAACCTGCGGCCAAAGCTAGAACGACGAGGAAGAAGAAGGAGGAAACTGTCAGTCGCCACTTTGCCAAACCGAAAGACGAGGACCAGGACCAGGAGGAGGAGGCCGAGGCGCCTAAGCCGCCAAAGAAGACCAAGAAAGATGCGGAGGAGCCTTTGGATTTGGAGGCGGCCATGTGCCGTCGCAAAGATTGGACACCACCACCTGCCGATACTGCTGCTAGCTCAAATCAACAGGTCGTGGATTTGCTCTCGTCAACCGATAAGACCTCAAGTCTTGTCGCCTCAAAAGAGACTTTCGATAATCTTTTCAAGAACTATGCGCACCCGGAGGAGGAGCCGGCACGGCCCTCCGTCGAGCCACCCGACAATGAGCGTCAGGTCTTAGGGAAGAGGAAGTTGATCGAGACTGTATCTATCAACGAAACGGCCAAGACGGGCCCATCCGAGAGAGCGGCCCCGAAGGCCAAGGCACCCAGGAAGAAGCCTCGAACTATCACTGAGCTAGCCACAGCCGCTTATAAGGTTCCAGAAGCTACTGAGCAGCAGGAACTGTCTGCACTTGCACCAGAGAGCAACGCCGTCGAAGCAGAGGAGGCAAAGGGCAAGGGAAAGAAGAGGGCATCTAAGGCCAAGAAGCCGAAAAAGATGCCACCGCCAGAACCTGTCCTCCTTTCACCGACCGCAGCTTTGAGACAGGCCGCAAACCAGGACTATGTCTTTGGCACCTCGAGCCAGCTGGCTCGGGAACACTCGCCAACGTTCCTACGAGACCTCCAATCAGCTCTCCAAGCCTCAAACTCGCGAGGAAAGGAGGACGACCCCTTCGTCACGCCCATCAACAGTGACGCGGTAGAGCCAGAACCGCGACAGAAGCTATGGGGTGTCGGTGCAAGAGACGAAGATGGACGAGTCTTGGACCTCGAAGTCATCAACTTGGCAGACACGCCACAGGGAAACGAAGGCACATCTGAAGGGCCCAATCCATTTGGATACGTGGCCGCGGACAAGCAGGCGCCACCACTACCGAATCACTTCCCATCAGATGACTCGTTTCCTGATATTGACGATCTTCTCGGAAAAGCGATTGCGGGGGAGCTGCCTAGCATCCAAGAGGAGGCACCAAACTTCCAACCCGCGGCAGCTCAACCCGCCCCGAAGGAACCAAGCCCTGCGCCCGAACATGAAGCCGCGTGCCCAGCCGAAAAGGACATCTCCGAGGATGACATTGACCTGCCGCCGCCGCGGTTGCCGTCAGTGACTGGCAGAGGAACACGACAGCCTGCTGCCAAAGCCAAACCTGTCCAAGAACCCAGCAAACCCAAATTCGACCTATACACTGACGTCCAGCTCGCACGTGAAATCTCCTCGTACGGGTTCAAGCCAGTCAAAAGACGCACGGCTATGCTTGCTCTATTGGACCAGTGCTGGGAAAGTAAGCAGCGACCAGCTCTTTCTTCCCTCCCCACGAACCATCCGATGATCTCAACGATATCTGAGTCACAGACAGCTGCCAAGGTGCAGAGGGCTGCAGCTGCTGTGTCACCCAAACGCCCGCGGGGCCGTCCGAGAAAGAACAGTGACGTTGCGCCAGCGTCCCAGGAGGTGTCACCTAGACGTGGGCCGGGACGGCCCAGGAAGACCCCCAGCATCGAACTCCTGTCGTCGCCCAAACGCCCGCGGGGTCGCCCGAGAAAGAGTAGCATCGAGATCCCGTCCAGTGAGCCGCCGCCGTCAGCTCAGCCTCCGCCGCCATCTCCCAAACGGCGTCCCGGACGGCCGAGGAAAACCGCTGAGCCGACACGAACCACCGGCGGCACGATAAGCAGCAAGGGTAAATCCAAGGCAGCTGCAGATACCCCAGATGTAGCCTCGCCGGCGGCGTCACGCGCGAGGAAGCTTGCGTCGCAGAACATTATCGAGATTCCTGATTCGGCCTCTGAAGGGTCACTGTCGCCGTCGCCCTACTCATCTCCGGAACCAATGTTCTCGTCACCGCCGCCGGTGGATGCTTCCTTATCAATCACGGAAGATACGGAGATGTCGCTCGCTGCGTCGCCAAAGAGCCAGGAGTCTGCGGCTCTGTTTGAGTGCATCACCGAAGCCGTGACGACGGCACCCCCAACCACGGACCCGAAGAAGCCCACCTTTCATGAGATGATGTTGATGTATGACCCTATTGTGCTGGAGGACCTTGCCACTTGGCTGAACACAGGTCAGCTGTCCAGAGTTGGCTACGACGGCGAGGTCTCCGCGGTTGAAGTGAAGCAATGGTGTGAGTCCAAGAGTGTTTGCTGTCTTTGGCGCGAGAGCTTGCGAGGAGGCGAGAGGAAGAGATATTGATTTGGAGTTGAGGCAAGGATACCCTCTGCATGTTTATGCATTCATCACGGCGTAACTTGGGTAGGCACAGGCACAGCTTTGGAGAGGCCTAGCATTCACTTGACATGCGCAATACCAAACTTTTATACGTTGATATATTGATCTCAGTGCCTCTCGACTCAAACTAT